TGACGCATTGATGTATTCGCATAGTGTCGTTGTCACATTTGATCAAAACAGGAAACTGAAAAATACTTAGCGTTATGAACAATCACATTTACGCCACAAAATGTCTAGTTTTTATGTATTACATTTCAGTGTTGATCACATTTTTACCCCCCTAAAACCAAAGTGAGTTGACTATTATGTATTTAGTCTCCCTGGCCGTAGTTATCAATTTCTCTGTATGCTGACAATGCCGACGTTATCATAATGTCCTAATTTCGTTCTACATTTGCTCTGACAACCTTTCTGGAACTAGAGTATGCATAGAGGTTACGTCACGTGGATGCCCATAGTTCCTTGCAGTCGCGCAATTTCTATTCGATTACTCTATTCGATATTTTCTCTTAAACAACCTTTTTTGAAAAAAATGTATTCAAAGAAGTGACGTCACAGAAATACTTAATACCCATCGTGCCGTTCGGTCGTGCAATATCACTTGACAATTTCCGAATTCGTCATTTACTATTGACCCTTAAATCAGATGTCCACATAGAAGTGAGGCTAAAAACCAGGTTTAATAGACGTTTATCTAGTACGTATTGTCAGACCAGATCACAGCCTATTGCGCACATCTTGAAAACTAGTTCCCTTAACTTTCAATCGAAATAAAACACAGGCGAGATTGCTATCATAAGTATATCGTTACTCTTGGCGTGAAAAGAGGTAAGTGGCTCGCTTTTTATCATTTTACGGTAACAGGAACATGTAAAAACAGACTAAGGCCCCTGGCGTATTTATGAATCATTTTTTCCAATGTCATTAGTGCAGTCTGGTACTGAAAACTGAGATTTGGTTTCGAAAACAAGAACACTGCACGTTCGCAAAAACTAATCCTAAAAACTGCACGTCTCGTCACGTTTAAGATAGTTATTACTTAAGACAAGCTTTCGCAGGACTAATATGATTGAAATTATAACAGTTTTAAAGAATACACTAGGATAATTGAATTAAAAATCATTTCCTAAGTTTAATTGAACTCACAGTACATAGACCATTCAATACAAAGTTAGTAAAAAATATTTTACTTTCTCTTAGTTAACCGTCTAATATATATTTTTATCATATAATTATCTATGAAATACCCTATATTTCTCCATTTCGTAAAATTGATATTTTCACTAGTGAATAGCATTCAAGGTTTCTCTATATAGTGGAAGTAAGAAAAAAGSTATTTTACGGCATAATTTGCTTTCATATACAATTATATGATAAATAGAATATTACATGGGCGCGCGGAGATACGGATTTTATTTTCGAGTGTTGAAAAGATCTCTCACGAGTGAGCTAACCGTCTAATATATATTTTGTGGAGATAAAATTAGATGTATTAGTCATAAAAGGATCGAACTTTCAGAACTTTCAGATTMAGAATTTTGGAAACATTACATACATTGCTTTTAGTTACCCCTGGTAACAGCTTTCTAAACGTTTCTAGAAAGCTCAAAGGAACCTAGTTATTGACACAGAGACTATGCTAATTTAATATTTGTCCCAACTTAAAAAGATTTTATCTTAAGTTTTAAGTGCAGAGTTCTTGATTTCCGTAAGACACTACGAACACAGTATGTTAACACAGGATGTAGCTTAAGTTTCCTATCTTGAAAGATTCAGTTCTCTTAAAAACAACAGGCGTTATCAATAACATATCTATACAATATCTATACTTATGTAGGTAATTGTAAAAGAGCCTGTCACAATCTAACAGATTTACTTAACATCTTCCTTGTGTGCGAACGAACAAAGATTTGATCAGCTGTTGTCTGGAGAGTTGCGAAAACCTTGGACATTTTAAAACAAGGAGGGTTTTAGCTATAAAGCTAACATTGAACACAAACGGCTAAGAGAGATCAAGCAAGAAAGAGAATCGAAACTTAGTCTTCAATTCCACTTGTTTACATGTTTCTAGCTTTCCTTTATTGGTTTAGTGTGGTTTACCTTTTCTGGCTTGAAGGGAAATATTTCAACTTAAGATATTCCGTATCCCGATGTTTTCCAGGGGTGAATATCCCCATTACTTGATAATATTTCGGAAGGTGTTCCTTATGATTTTAGTTTTTAAGTGCTAGGGAGCAGTCAAGTTTTAATTTCGTTTAATTCATACATTTATTTAGACTAATACCATAAGTCGGTACCAGTTCCCTTTCTGTCGATATTTGTTGTCGCGCACAGGTCCGTCGCTAGTTTGAGCGACAAACCGAAAAATCGAGGAGGGAATACTACGATTTATTGCATCAGTCTAAAATTTATTAAGCTGGCTGAATATTTCCTATTCTCGCTTTTGTGTGTGTGTTTTATTGAAATATTCCGTATTCCGTAAWTTTTTAAGGGAATATTCAATATTCCTAAGATTTTGAAGTACGATATTCAATACAGTAAAACCCGCGTATAAAAACCTAGGCTTTTTCAAGTTAGCCTGAATAGGTTCTTATATAAATGGTATTTAGAACCTGTTTTAGAATCTGTTTTAGAATCTTAGCCTAAAATGGTTCTTATGTGAAGAGTACTTAAAAATGAAATTTTAGCCTAACAGGTTCTTAAATGTTAGGTTCTTATATACGTGGGTTTTTACTGTATTCAATATTCCTCTTCCACCACCGATATCTTTGTTTTCTTAGATAGAGCCAACGCACTAAATCCGTGAAACTAAAAAAGTACTAATTTAAAAAATTCTGCAGCTTCCTTTGTTTCCTAATGTCTTATCTACACTGTTTGATAGTTATATTTATAAAAACATAATTGTCTATAAAATATCTATCTTTCTCCATTACGTAAAGTTCTTATTTTCAATAGTGAACTGAATTTTACAAAAAAGAATTATAGAAATATTTTAAAGTTGTTGTATTGTTTATCRTATTCGTGGTATCTCTATATATTGGATGTATATACAAGTTTTTTTTAAACATAATTTGCTTTCATTGATAATTATATGATAAAGAGAATATTACATGGTCACTTGTAGATATAATTTTTCGCTCCGCTCAATACGTATCTCCGCCCTTGAAATATTCTCTATATTTTCTGTTTGTTGTTATGAATCAAGTGGGCCCAATCCAATGAGACGACCAAGTGATTAATTATTTTGAAAAATTCTATCTTTTATAACCCTTTGTGTGACATATTACTGCGCCATAGTTATGACGTCACGAATCCCAACCCTAAAGGACCACGGGATCGAAATTGAGACACAAAAACGCATAGAGAATTAATAATAAGTGATTAAAAGGCAATCGTCGCCAGAGAGAATATCAAGCTACAATTAGCATTATCTTAGAGTTGAACATCTGAATATTGCTTGAATTGTAAAGTTCTTTGTTTAAGAGATGCAGCTCGCAAATGGCATACATTGCATMCCAACGATACCGCAAAATAGCTTATCTTTTTATTACTATTTAATTTATTATTATTATTTTTTCATGTTATTTTTTCAAGAAAAAGCTTATCAATGAGTGTAGAATTCTATGAATTGCTTAAGTGAAATAAGAAATATGACTCAGGAAAAAATTAAAAATTCAATTTCACAATTTGAAATAAATTTCAATAGCGCATAATTATTCACTTGAAAACACTTCAGCTGACTTTGAACACCAAATTAACAGGTGACCAAGGTTTAGCGTTAAGCGACAAACTCCTTTAACAACCTTCTTCTATATTTTTAATAATTCTAGGGTTGAAATATCGAAATTTTCCATAAAGCTATTATTTCGGAAATTGGTATATTTATTTTATTTTATTTTTTATTATCATTGTTTTAAAATAATCATTTTGAAGTTTATTATAAACAAAGTCAATACCAGATTCATAAGGTTTGACGAAAGCTTCGTAGGCGGTTACAACTTCCCTTTGCACGGAATATATATATTTATCATATAATTATCTATGAAATACCTATATTTCACTAGTGAAAATAACACTTTTGAGCCGGTTTCTCTATATAGTGGAAGAAAGAAAAAAGGTATTTTACAACATAATTTTCTTTCATATTTAATTATATGATAAACAGAATATTACATGGTCGCTTGGAGATACGAATTTTATCTTCGAGTGTTGAAAAGATCTCTCACGAGTGAGCGTAGCGAAAGATAAAATCCGTATCTTCGTACTGTTATGTAAGAATTAATCGAAAAATATATATATGCTTCTAGGCAACGCCTCAGCACGAATCAGTCAGTTACTTAAATAARCTCATATAAACTCCGAGGGATATTTGTTTTGTAAATTAAAAATTCGACTCCTGTTGTTATAATGAAGATATGGACAGGCGCGGTGCATGGAATACAAGCCCCATTTACATCTGATCATAATAAACTAAAGGGGGAGTAAAATCAAAGAGGATCCGTTGAAAAGACAASGTCAGATGATTTGAGGAACTATATTTTTAATTTGCGCGTGATTATCTGTTTTATTTTTATCTAAATAGAATATAATATTTTTCGTTTGTTGTTCTTGACATTTACACGAAAAAAAACATGCTGATAACAGGACTATTTTTAATTTTTTTTTAGCAAATTAGTTAAGGGAAAGCAAGAAAATGAATTGCCATTTTGTTTTACTGTTTAAAACAGTGGTAGCCTGCACTCTCATTTCTAAAGAAAATTCCTTACACACGCGCGTTAAAAAAGGAAAAAATAAATAGAAATTAAAAAAATGATTGACAACTGTTTTTTTTTTTGGAAATTAGGATAGATTAATTGAAATACAGCGAATTTTTTTTTATGAAAAAGGAACTCCTTAGCTTATGAACTTTAGTTTACTTTTTAACAATATACAAGATATCGAGCAAAAATCAAATGATCATTTGAATGAATTTAATTAATTTGATTATTAAGGATTTTTTTTTCAATTTTTTTTCCTCTCTCTCTCTCTCGTCCACTTCATATTCACAAAAAGGTACTTTAAAAAATTGACATGAAAAGTTAATTATTGTGGTCTGTACAGCTGCAGTAATTCCCTGAGAACTTCAAGATTAAATATCACCGATATGTTCAATGAAAAACTAATAACTTCAAAGAATACGGTGTCTATCAGAGACAAAAATATTTATATTTCACACTAAAAACAAAACAAAGCGATTAAATTTGGCAATACATCAAATTAAAGAAAAAAAGTTTATGTATTTTAAAGTAGTTTCTTTCCTTCTTATCGCATATCAAATTCAGCTTTAACAAGCGAAACGTTTACGACGATATGTCTTTGGAAGTCACTCTCTAAACTCTCTAATTACGTCCAGTTATGGAAAACTCGCATGTTTTCTAACATGTATATTATTTACTTCCTTTTCCATTTACAAATACCACGGTTTTCTTTATTTATGTGTCTCTAACAATGATGTTTAGGTTTTTCCGCAATTACCTTGAAATTAATTTTGTAACACCTACAAGTCCTTTTATTTGTTTTCGTTCAATATGAGTACAGCTGGCGTCCGCTTAACAACTGACATTTCGCTTGCTGTTTATGAAGCTCCCACATAAATGTGCTCAATCTAAACGGACTCTGCAAAAAAATCTCATTGAGAAAGAAAACGYAAWAAAAACTACTTCAAAAATCGGGCTAACATCACTGTAAGTACTCAATTCATTGTGATTGTAGAATAACACATTGTACATAGATTATATTTCGTGTTTATCAACCATAAAAAGAAAAATAGCAATTGSAATCGTAGCTATAATAAATGTTAAGCCATGACAKATAGATGYGGTGTCCCTGTGATCACMCGATTTTGYCATGAGTTTTAGATGTGGTGTTTACCAACCATAAAAARGGAAAAAAAGTCATTACTAATAATAAGTTCAGCGATGACATATAGATCTAGTTTCAATGTTATCACCAGACCTGAGTTTTACGAACATGTCATACGTTATGAATACTCAAAACACAACTTTCAAACGTCCCAAACYTATATGAAATCAATCTCGTTTAGGTTGTCCATTGTTGACAGGAAAAAAAAACACAAAAACGACCGCGTAAAAACCTTTTTTAATGATTTTCGAGAAGGCATTTAGGTTTAAACTCTCCATTTGAACGAAAGGTAAATATCGCTATCTACGGTGCAAATCCAGCAGATAAATCTATACAAAATCTAAGAAGTAGAAAATATTATTTTACATCTTGTATGCCATGTGGTTTCCATGATATTGTCACCCGACGTACTCGTCCGAATTGTCATTAGCTTTTACGAAGATGTATACGTTATGAATATACAACTTTCACACATCCCATGMAATACTAATTATAAACATATATAAAAGCAATCTCGTTAACGTTGTCCATATATGAAAGGAAATGAAGACAAAGACAAAAACAAAAACGACCGCGWAAAATCCTTTTTTTAATTCTCGAGAAGTCATTTCAGTTTAAACTATACTTGAAAGGAAACGAAGACAAAGACAAAAAAAATTTTTTTTTCTATTTTCGAGGAATCATTTCAGTTTCAACTCTCAAGTTGAACGAAGTGCTATCTATCGGGTAAATCCTTATCAAGCAGATATAATCTCTACAAAATTTAAGAAGTGGAAAATATTATGGAAATTCTTGTGAAAAAACCGAATGCAAATCACTTTGTTGTTGTTCGTTGTATATGTTTATTGACAGCAAAATGGACTAAAAATGGTTTGCATTTAAGAAATAAGATTCTTTATGTTATACTGAGATAAGCTTATTGTTCTTGAAAAAATCGATTTATAAAAAGTAAAGACAAAAAGTAGTCCTCTACGATTTGTTGCGGTCTTAGATAACCTAACTCGGAACAGAGTGTGTGGTATTTTCGGATATGTTTACCTTGTAGCGAGCACGAACAGTTGTCAAATTCTAGARTTTTAATAAGAATCGATTATCCAACCAGCCGACAAAATATTTGCACGAACATCCGTGTAGTTTAACAAACAATATTGATCCTCCATCTTGGTTTTAGTTTGTCCCATTTTAGAACACTGCCAATGTAATTCGTCTTGTTCGAAAATCCATCCACAGCGGTAAAAAAAAATCAGGAGCCGACAGGGTCTGTTCTTCTAAATAACTGTTCTTGTAAGATTTTTTTTCCTGGGAAAGGGATTTTGAGCTACATTGTTGTCAATCTCACAAGCAAATGTGTCGCCCTTCCTTCTTTAAAATAATTTTGTTTCTGGCAAAAGTTTTTAAGGTCAAAAAGGCTTATATAACGTTTTTATGGAYAAAAACGGGTTATAAGTTTTTTATTTAGRAAATTTTATTTTCCTGGCAAAAATTCCTAKAAAGTACTCCTTGCCTGGAGAGTTCTTTTTTCCTGAATTYCTCGCTGGCAAYCRGTTGTGACTTACAGCTKGMTGGGRCATAAGAACAGATATATTTCTCCCAGGARCCCGTCGGCTCCTACTAAAAAATGGCCGAAAGTAAACAAAATTTCGAACAGACTTTTCATGTTTTCACCCTRCAATAYCAAAAATAGGATTTTTGAAGCGTTGACAACGAATTAAACTGAAAAAAGTAAGAAAAATGAAAATATGTGCGTTATGTGTGACGGCCAACAATCTTGCAGTGCAAAGTTTGAAAATATCTGATAACTTTTGAAGAGATCGATGCGAGTGAATGAACTTTTCTCAAAGTTTTATGTTTGAAAAACACAYTCTGGTTAAAAAAAAAAACACAGGAGGCCCAACTGTCACGAAAGATTCCGTGTTACTTGCTTGACCTTATACGAATACTAAATGACCTATAAATACACCTTTGTGGGTGGAATTTGAATTTCAAAGCAAGGACAGCAGTAAATAAAGTACCTCTCAATGTTGCCCWGGTGAACTATCGAGAGCTGCATAAGGACCGCTAGTGATGGTAAAGAACAAGTAAAAACTCATTGGCACTAAAATGTGAGTTTACTTATAGTAATATAAAGTAAAAAATATAAGAAATTTAAAAATTGGTTTATTTCGTATTTTATGGTAGTTTTCTACCAAAACTTTCTACAAGCTGACTAAAGTGTTTTTTAGTAATAAATTAACCGGAGAGTTAAGAAGATATAAACTTAGTTGACTATTGCCATAACCAAGCGATTTAAAGAGGCTTTAATTAGACTGGTTTCTAGYTTATTCTGCAATATAAATTTSRCAGAAAGTTTAACCGATTAAAATGAGTTGAGGGGAACGAACGATCAATTAATTGAGCAATGTGTTAATAGGAACGTTGAAAGTGCAAACTTAAAAGTTCCGTTATATCGAAAGGTGATAAATTCTTTTATACAAGTGCTGATGATGTGGTTGCAAATCTAGTAAATACCTTTCTTTAGGAACTTCAAGTTTTTAATTATTTTGAACTTGTCAAGAGCCTCTCATGTGATTATGTCATGAGTGTTTCGGAGGCAGCTGTCCTTGATTAAGCCTTTACTAACAGAACATTTCGACACTAAAATGATCCATATTTTCTTCGAGTTCACATCAGTAGCCTTCAAAACTATCTTTCTATTTATTTTAAAAACGACATGCAATCTATCCCCGTGTCAATAGAATTTGCTTCTCTGTTAACTCAGCTTTAGGGCTATTATTTTTCCTTTTCTGGTGTATTCTTGACACAGGAAAAAATAGAAAAAAAGGAAAAAAAGAATAAGGAAATTTGCCTATTTTGAGACGAAGCTTTATTGATGTAAACTTCCTCTTCTTGTAAGTGTATTTTCGATTTATTTCCTGATTACCATAATAAAGTTAAGTTTCATTTGAGTTTTCTAATTGAGACAAATTGTCGAATCGTATCAAAGAAGACATCACAAAACAAAGTAGACACCATTTCCTTGTTCAAGACTATCTTAATTAAGCTTTTCTGTAGTATTTGAAAAGGAAAAGAATAAGTGTTAGTTGTGTTTTGTTTAATAGTGAAAAGTTGATTTACTTGGGCTGAAAAAAAGCAATTAATATAAGGACACAACAGTCTACTGACGTAACCTCACTGTGCGAGGGCTATAATAAACATCACGTACAAAGGRAATATTCTAATAGATTTATATTTGTGTGAATGTTTGAGTGATGTCTGCCGTTATTACTGCATTGTGATTCCCTTCAGGATTTAGGTAAACAAGTTTATGTCATATGGTTGAATTCATCTTTTCTGCTTACGATTATGCTTGCGTCTGCGTGCACATCAGTTTTTTAGAAAGTTGTAGAATTCCATCAATAACGATAATTACACTTGGCATAGTATTAGTAATAAAATAAACTGAATCCAATTGCTGAACGAACTCAGTGTAACAGCACAGTTATAAATATTAAATATGGATTTGAATAATACGATAGACCGCAGCTAGTTAATTAGCATTTTAACACTGTAAAAACGTTTTCTTAAAAACTTAAAATACTTAAAATATTTATAAAGAACATATAATCGTATGACGAAGTAGCTGATCCCATTAAAGAGTGCTCAATACACATAAAGTGTAGAGCTAGTTATATATATGATATCAAAGAGGCAAGATTTTGCTGTAACTCCGAGTTTCGTGCTATGCACTCATCAGACAGTATTTAATAATTAAATATATAAAGAACATATACAGCTGTTTGCAATAATTATGACCCCCTCTGCCATATTTCATATATATCAAACTGACCTTTAATATTATGGGATATCATGACTGATATATTTTTTGAGTTGTCCAGAATGAGTACTTTCTAAAAAAAATATCAGCATTGGTATCCCATAATTTCTAAAGCTACTTTGATATATATGAATATTAGTGTAGGGGGGTCAGAATTATTGCAAACAGCTGTATAGAAAAAAATTAGCTATTTATAATATTCTAAAAGAATTATTAGCTATTTATAGTATTGAAATACTCACGTTTTCCAAAACAGCAAACTTTTTTTATTAAATAACATGAATAACATAAATGAGTAACATTTTCATGAATAATGGATAATATTTTCAAATTTCACTTGAAATATTTAAGTTTATTTAGGCGGACAACTTCATACTGTTACGTAACTATTCAAAATTTCATAAATTCATAAATGCGCATGYCCGRCAAATGYCAGGTGACGTCAATGAAACCATAGCAACGGTTAAATRTATATTGACTCTTACCGTAACACCGCAGATCAAGCCAGGAAGCGAAGTACGGTGACTTCAACTCAAGAATTCTAAAAGAGAAATTTTGAGGATTAGCAAGATGAGAGGAGTTAATGGTCTTCACTTCCAGTTTCTATCTCTCGTTTTATTTCTAGGTAAGTTTGAAATTGTTTGTTATTTAGTTATGAAATATGTTGTTCATGTTTCATTTGTTTTGCCGTAACGTAAAGAATATACAAAAGCCATCATCCATCGTCATATTTGAAYGGGTTTTGYCTAACCCGATGCAATTTTGCAGCGCTTTTTTTAGCGCTTTTTAGAACGGAGAACGACGCAAAAACGCTGTAGGATCAGAGTGGAAGATCACGAGGTCTCGATTGTCGGTCTTTTCCAGTTTAAGAAACACGCGACAAAATAYTTTCAATGAAATCATCTAAAGACAATTTTCTATTTTTTTTATATAAACAATAAATTAAAGTAAATACGTTGATGACGCCTACAAGCGGAAACAAACTCAATATTAATTTCACTTCTTATACTACTAGTAATTTCTTGGCGTTATCAGTTTTATCAAAAGTTTTTATACTATAAGGCGATTAATCAAGATAAAAAAATATGTCACATGAAAAAGTAAAATAAAAACGTTATCCTTAATTAAAAATTTCCTCTGAAGGATGAAGGAGGGAAAGTGCTTGCACACTGACAAGGATGTTGAGAGCAACTTTAGGGAAATATTTTTTTTTATTTTTTTCATAATTAATGAATGACAGGAACAAGTTGATGGAAGAAAATTCAAACTTTAGATAACTTTTCATCCGCTTTTTTTTCTTTTCTTTTTTTTTCCTTTTCTTTTCCGGTTTCTTTTCTTTCTTTCTTCTCTTTCTTTTTTTTTCTTTTCTTTTTTTTTTCTTTTCTTTTCTTTCTTCTTTTCTTTTCTTCCTGTCTTATCTTTTAATTTTCATTATGTTTTTCTATTTTTTTTCTTTTCGTTTCGTTAGTTTGTTTGTTCRTTTATTTWTTTTYTYYTGTTRTKWT